AGGAACAGACACTTCTGCCATTACTACCGAGTGGGCTTTGGCAGAACTCGTAAACCATCCCCAGATAATGAAAAAAGCTGTTGAAGAAATTGAGAAAGTTGTGGGAAAAGACAGACTTTTACAAGAATCAGACATACCAAACCTTCCTTATCTTCAAGCAATCGTGAAGGAATCACTACGTCTTCACCCCACAGCCCCAGTAATTCAAAGAATCTCAACAGAAGATTCCACCATCAGAGGTTACCATATTCCGGCAAACACTACAATCTTTTTCAACATATGGAGCGTCAGCAGAGACCCAGCCTACTGGGAAAACCCACTTGAATTCAAGCCTGAAAGATTCGAAGAGAAACAGTTGGATGTAAGAGGACAACATTTTGAGTTGTTACCATTTGGAAGTGGGAGGAGGATGTGTCCAGGGACATCGCTAGGGTTGTCGGTGGTGTATGTAACTCTCGGTTGTATGATTCAGTGTTTCGATTGGAAAGCCGGAAAAGATGGGAATCTAACTAGTGTTGACATGGAAGAGGGTATCGGGATAACACTTCCTAGAGCTAACCCTTTGGTTTGTGTTCCTGTAGCACGACTTCATCCCCTCCCTTTGTCTGTGTAATACGACACTTCGAAGTACAGTAGTCAATGGTGTTTGCTTTGATTAATGTTTTTTATTTTTATTTTTATCTCATAAAATCTGAGTTCAAAACGTGTAACGAAAGCATGTTATTATGTATTTCAATGATTATGTTTCCAGGCATGATGATTATTGGTTCTCTTGATCTTTAAGATTTTGATACATTATCTTATAACAAATCGTATTAATTACTTGACAAAGAGATATTAATGGAAAGTGACAAGTAGGGCTTAACTGTCTAATTGAAAAGTATTTCCCTTATTTCTTTATGGACGGCGATAGAAATTAAAAGTAGTGGCGGCTAGAAAGTAACATAAATAAATAAAAGTTAACCTGGGTTGGAGAACAAAAGCGTTTAGGATAACGCCATATAGTTAACAAACCTTTAGGAATTATTTAAAAAGCATGAATTGTTCGATGTAAACATGAATTTGATTTTATCGTTTTCCATGTTATATTATTTTGTAATCAAGAAAGCAATAACTACGACTAAGTTTGGTGTTTGACTGTTTTCTGTACACCCCCATAGTTTTAGGTTTATTTATATAACATTTTTTATGGTCTTTGGTGCGGCTCATATTGAGCCAATCTGGAATCAGTAAAATCGTCGTTATTTAGATGTTGTTACTTGGATATATGTATATTATTGTGTTCAAGAAACAAGAAACCCGATTAGACTAATTAAGGGGTGTACACGGACCAAGCAATGCGGCTAGTGCTACATGGCCCACCTTGGACACGACCCGTGTTCTCTCTCCTCTCTTCTGTCTTCTCCCTTTTAGTTTGGTTGTTGCTAATAAAAATGATTTTTAATTTGATGTGTACTATATAAAATTCTAATGCATGAACTGATTTTCAAATTAAAATTTTAATTTTTGTAAAGACAACTCTAAACATTGTATAAATTTCTATCAAATACCTTTTAAATTTGAAAAAATAGAAAAATTTATAATAACTTTTTATAGCAAAATTTAAATTGATGAAAAAAATTTCATTAGTTATTTATTATTAATCTAATATCTATTTATGTTTTACTTAATATTTTAAATGTTTGAAATTGATAATTATTGATTGTATTAGAAAAAAAAATGTCTGATCTTATTTGTAAAATTCTAAAATTTAATCAAAAGTTTACCAACTCCAAAACAGTCAATATTTTAGCATATTACATTTATGAAAATGAAATCATCTGTGAAAACGTGCTTACATCTGTGCAAATAATATAAGTATTTAACTAGAAAAATTCAAAAAATAAATAAATAAATGTAGGGGAGGATTTCACAGATCACATATGTAAAATCATGTATGACTATCTGCGAAATCAAATGAAAAAATGTTATATTTCCCATATGTCATCTGTGAACTAGATTTTGGGTATGCCATTTGTGATTTCGTAGATGGTATCTACTTTTACCATTTGCAAAATCGCAAATAAGTGAATAAGATACACGAAAAACAATTTTTTTAGACAAAATTGCAAAAATGGTTCTTGTGATATATGCAATTTTTTGAGGTTTTAGTCCAAACCACGACTTTTTTGGATTGGTGGTCCTTTTGAGCTAGTTTCATTGCGTTTTTTGTCCCTCTGAATAGTGAAATGACTGTTATACCCTTGGGTTATTTATTTTTCATTTCTTTCATTTTTCTTAAAATCTAAATACTTATTTATTTATTTAACTAACTAAAAAATAAAAGTCTCTCTCTCTCTCTCTCCCATCCCACCGTCTTTCCTTCCAAAGATTCGGTGATATCTTCGGCCAACCACCACTGTTCATCACCTCCGACCAGCCACCAACCCACCATATTCAGCACCCTCCGTTGCCTGCACATCGTAGCCACCACCACCATCATAAATGAAGTCTGCCTTTCACTTATGACGCCCTCTGGTGAAACCCTTCAACCATGGACATGATCAGCTTCCAATTACCTTTCCAGAAAAGAAAAAATAATTCTAAAACCTTCTAAAAAATTGAAATCGTTTGAAACTCTCACCCAAACCAAAAAAAAAAAAACAAATCCCATCTGATAATTTAATTCATGTTTGAAAATCGGTAAACCTAAATAAGATGGAATCCTAATTGGTTTGTTGGGGAGAATAGAAATCTGGGAGATAATATCGGGAACTGTGATATTGGAGAATGTAGGCATTCAAATGGAAATGACCCTACAAATAAAATGACATATAGTGACACATATTTTTAATGACATATGTTTGATACACCACTATATCATATTTTTTAGTGGCACTTTTTGTATGCCATTGAAAAAATTAATATATTTAATGGCATTTAACATTTTATGTCATTAGTATTTATAGTTATTAATGAAATATGATTAATGAAATATGATTCAACATGCCACTAAAAGTTTTGTTTTATAAAAAATATTACATAAATAATTTTCGACAAGAAAAATCTGTTTTAATATTAACATTTTAACTTTTTATATATTTTTTGTCTAACGGGCGTGACACCAACGCTAGAAATGATGACAAGTCATAAATATTATCATCATAATTTTTTATTATTTCCCAAATTTTAATAAAATAAATTATATTTATATTATAGTTATTAAAATTTTAAGATATTAATTATCACTTTATTACCACTATGATTTCTATTTTTGAAGGGCATATAGTCGACATCATCGTTTTAGGGTTAGTTTTCGCTGAGAGGCAAACAAAAATCGATCAATTTTGTCGAATCGACAGCGCCAAATCAATATTCAAGCTTCAAAGTTTTGGCAAATCGATCAACTCCTTCAATAGACATTGAGAAATCTGTCCACTCCTTCGAACTAAATCGACATCGGAAAACTCAAATTGATCCACAACTCCAGTTCTCCACTCCTTCGAAGCTTATGTTCAGTGTTCCTCTTTATGAAATCAAATTCAAGCATTGGAAAATCTATATTTAAGCTACAAGTGTTGAAGGTTTGTTTCAAGCTTTGAGTTTCGATTCATTATTCCTCATTAATAAATCAACATATCCAAATCGATTGGTTTGTTTTCGATTCCTTTGTTTCGAAAGTCAGAAAATCGGGCATCGGTTTGTTTCGGTAGCTACAAATGAATGTATTTTGGAGCCTTCCAACACTTGTAAGTCCTTCACTCCTTAATTTTGCGATCTCATCATCCCGAAGTTATTTCTTTGCAATTTGTATTTCACTTATAGATTTTTGAATCGAAATTACGGTTTATATGGTTATTTTAAATTGTAGTGCATGATTTGTTACATTTTATTTAGATGAACACCAAGTGTTCGATGAAATTCCCCAACGAGATGTTTCTGGATTGGCTTACTTCGTGAACAGGTCCGCCTTTTGATTTATTGGGTTTACTATTTATATAAATTAATTTCTTTTATAATCTCAACATTACTGGTAAATTATTGCAATTCATTTTTACAGAGTATATTAGACCGAGCTTCTTTCATTATGCTAAGATTTTCTATACCTATAGGTTATCTAGCTATTCACATCTTGATGAACTTCTGCATGGCAAACAAATCTTAAATGCCCAATTGATTGAAAACTAACTTTTATATTACAATACACAGGCTTATGATTCATTAAAACATAATGAAAACAAAATAAAAAAACAATTATGTCAGTTCTTATTTTGGAGGTTTTCAGACAATTCAATTAACGTGTGTTGCCCCACTGTAATTGAACAAGTTTGGATATATTCTAGTCCAATTTCACTGCCCAACTTGGATACTAATGCTCTTGAGTTATTGGAAAAGATGATGACTCTTTATCCATCACCTGTATTCATTTTCCACCCTAAACTCATATTTAGCAATGTTACACTTTCTTGATCCATCACAAGTGATGACTGGAATGTATTTAGTCAAATTGTAATGTTTTTTTCCCTTCATATCAGGTTTCTTGAACTGGGACATGTCTAGGCTTTTTTATTCTCGCCCTTCCTGATATTTGCTAGATTTTGAATATAATTTTTTTAAAGTATAACGAGGACATGTCGCCACAATAGGCATTGTTTTGGAATTTATTATAATAACCTACGGTGAGGATATGTTGCCACAATAGTTAATTCATCATTCATCATTTATTGGCTACAAAATGTCAAAAAGTAACCAATTCAAATCGCATCATTTGTTTGACTTTTACTCTTCAGGTTGGTTATTTCTCCCCTATGGAGGTTGTCATCAGGAAAGCTCAAAATCTAACAATGACCCAGGTTAGTTTGATAAGCATTAAGCCCAAGTGCAATATAATCTTTTTGAACCATGATTATCAATCAACATAAATCTAAAGCAAAGATGTATTGAAATATGTAATGTTTAATCATATGTTTTTGTCGTCTTTATAGTATTCTTTATTTTGGTCAATATTGACATTTGTTGCAATGATTGGTGCCATTTCAAGTGGGACCATGGCTGATTTCTTTGGTAAGTTAATTTTAACTCTTCTCATTTTTTACAGTTTCAAATAGTTAAATCTTCTAACGACAATTGAACAGACATTGAGAATATCAAGTGCTTTCTGCATATGAGGGTGGCTAGCAATTTACTTTGCTCAGGTACTCACGATTTTACTCTAAGAGTTCATTAAATCTTTGAAACAAAAAGAGCAAATATATATATATATATATATATATATATATATATATATATATATATAT